AGATCTCACTTTAATCATGTGTGTAACCCACGCCACATGGATATGGGTTTGAGCAAGTAGAGATAGAATATTGTGAACAGGTGTGTCAAAAGTTTATGGTAGCTTGTAATTCCAGTATTTTGGGAGGCCGAGGCGAGTGGATTGCCTGAGCCCGTGGGTTTGAGATACGCCTGGGCAATTTGATGAGACCTCATCTCTACAATATATCAAAAACTAGCCGGGCATGGTAGTACGCACCTTTAGTTCCAGCTACTTGGAAGGCTGAGGTGGAAGCATCGCCGGAGCCCAGCAAGTTGAGGCTGCAGTGGCCTAGAGCATGACACTGCACTACAGTCTGGGCAATGGAGTGAGACTCCAACTCAAAAAAAAAAAAAAAAAAAAAGGTTATGGCAGAAATAACTGAAATCCAATAAAGAAGGCACAGGGAATAAAGGATTTTTGTGAATCATTCTTGATTGTGAGCAATACATGACTCTTTTGGAAATGGTATGACACTTAATAGTTCAGCAACACTTAAATGTAAAGCTCTCATCCTGAGATACCAAACCAACATCTAGGAGTAAAGGAGATAAAGGAAAGGATAGTAAATAGAAGCTAACATTTATTAAGTTCGTACTATGTACGTAGCATGAACCAATCTACAGACTTTCATATAGAATACATTAAACCGCCGGGCTCGGTGGCTCAGCCTGTAATCCCGTGACTTTGGGAGGCTGAGGTGAGTGGATTGCCTGAGCCCGCAGGTTCGAGACCCACCTGGGCAACTTGGCGAGACCTCATCTCCACAATAAATCAAAATGAGGCAGGTGTGGTAGTGCGCGCCTGTAGTTCCAGCTACTTGGAAGGCTGAGGTGGAAGGATTGCCAGAGCCCAGCAGGTCGAGGCTGCGGTGGCCGGGAGCGGCCACTGCACTCCAGTCTGGGTGACAGAGTGAGACTCCAACTCAAAAAAAAAAGAATACATTAAACCTACACAACAACCCTATGCTGTAAGTTCTATTATCCTTATTTCACAGATAAGGAAACTGAGGCAAACAGGTGAAAGAATTTGCCCATCTGATTCCAAAGCCAGTCCAGTAGCGCATCCCTACCATCTGTGGGTTTATCCTCCTCTGTGGTTAACTGCAATTAACCACAGTCTGAAAATATTAAACAGAAAATAAACAATTCATACATGTTAAATTCTGCTCCACTATGAGTAATGGAATCCCTCCCTGCCTCGGTCTGACTCTCTCAGGTTGTGAATCATGCCTTTCTTCAGTGTATCCACACTGTATACACAGCCCACCCATTAGTCACTTAGTAGCCAACTTGGTTATCAGATTAAAAAACAAGGCCGGGCGTGGTGGTTCACACCTATAATCCCAGCACTTTGGGAGGCCGAGTTGAGAGGATTGCTTGAGCCCATGGGTTCAAGACTAGCCTGGGCAACTTGGCGAGACCTCTTCTCTACAATAAATCAAGAAAAAATGAGCTGAGCATGGTGACGCATGCCTGTAGTTCCAGCCACTTGGAAGGCTGAGAGGGAAGGATTACCTGAGCCCAGCAGGTCAAGGCTGCAGTGGCCATGAGTTTGCTACTGAGCTCCAGCTTGGACAACAGAGTGAGACTCTGAGTCAAAACAAACAAACAAATAAAACATAGTATAAGGCAGGGTGTGGTGGCTCACACCTATAACCCCAGCACTCTGGGAAGTCTAGGTGAGGTGAAAGGACTGCCTAAGCCCACGGTTTTGAGACTAGCCTGGGCAACTTGGTGAGACCTCGTCTCTACAATAAACCAAAAAATTAGCCGGGCATGGTTGTGCATGCCTATAGTTCCAGCTACTTAGAAGGCTGAGGTGGAAGGATCGCCTGAGCCCAGCAGGTCGAGACTGTGATGGCTGTGAGCGTGACACTACCCTCCAGCCTGGGTGACAGAGTGAAACTCCAACTCAAAAAAACAAAAACAAAAACAAAAACAAAAATATAGTATGTACAGGACTCAAGACAATCTGAAGTTTCCAGCATCCATGGGGAGTCTTGGAACATTTCCCCCATGAATAAGTGGGGACTATTGTACTCCTAACCACTGCTTTATTGTTCAAATAGTTGAAAGCTTGCCATATAGAACCAAAGACAGTCTTATTCTGCACTAATCAATAGGATCCTATAAAAACGAAAGGTGGAAATTACAGGAGAGTAGGTTTCAGTTCAATATATGAAGAAAAATCGTAATGATTAGAACTGCCCATCAAATAACAGACTTATGAGACAATGAGCTTTTTGTTCAGGAAGCTCAAATGCAGAAGGTTGCACATGTTTATGGAGGACTGGGGGAAGAGTACTCTAGAGGAAGTCTTCAAGAGTCTGTAGCAAAGTAGGTTCCATGGAATACAAGTCCTACAAGATGTTTCACAAAATAAGAACTCTGTGATCAAAATGACCTTGGGAAGTGCACATACTCTACCCTTTCCTATCCCTGGGAGATTGACAAGCATATTGAGATATTTAGACATCAAGATCTCTGCAGTAAATAAATCCTTTTGGTAGTTAATCCAACATTTTTAAAATTATTTTGCATTGGAAAATTTTTATTTCTTTCATTCCCAATAAGCTACTAAATTAACAGCCCATAGGACAAATTTTCTACAAAATATATTTTAGAAAATGCTATTCTAGATGATTTCTATGATTCCTTTCAAATCTAAGATTATATCATAATTAAGAAAAACCTTAAAGCTTTATTTACTAGTTAGCATAAATGTGAAAAATTTTAAGTTAATTCTGCCTTTATAGAAATATTGGATATAATATGATACCTCATTTAGATTCAGTTAGTGAAATTATGTCTCTTAAAATAAATTAATCTTTTATGTTAAAGTAATCATGATAATAAGGCAGCCTAAGGCACAAATACTAGCACTGTCCCAAATACCAGTTGTATTAAATAGGCTTTACTAAATCTAATCATTATTGAAGAGTTCGGTTATCTAAGGAGGAGATACTTTCCTGATTTCTAAATTTATTTACCAAATAGTATAATGCTATGGTTTAATGCCTATTAATTTTTTATAACCTCTCCAAACTTTCCTTTAATTCTTCAAAGTTATTTGTCGATGTCCAATTTGTAAAATTCAGTTTATATTCACATCCTATTTATTTTAACTGTGATACTGTGCAAGTTTTCATGAGTATAATTTGCAAGATTCATTTTCTCTCTACTGTTATACCAAACCTAAGCACGACAGGTGTAAATATTTATTGGCAAACCATGAGATTAGTTCATACATGAATATTTAAAAACTTAATTTAGTTTCTTTGCAAGGAACAAGAAAAATGTTTAGTTTTTCTGTCAATTCAAAGTGCTAGTTTTAAAAAGTACTTTCATATATATTTATGCCTAAAATCCAAGGAGATTACTTAAAACATTCTCTATATTTTAAAATATTATGTAAATGGTCATTTTATTTTTTAACATAGATTCAAGATAACCAAATGAGTTTTTTTCTCTTTTAGTTTTTTCACTTGAAGAGTTTAGTAATGCAGAGGATAACTTTTCAGAAACAATTCAGCTTACCTGTGTCTATATCTAAAACAAACTTATTGAAATTCTTTGTGTTTTATTTTGACTGCACTGCAAAAGCAGATTTTTGTTTGTTCCAAACTGTAAATATGGTAGTAAAAGACTTTCTTGATGTTTTATGAAATAAGTGACAACATAATTTTTTGGCAAATGTAGGGATCCCTTCATGAACATCCTTGTTTTAGGTTTAGCTAAAGACTTTGAACACTACGTCAGTTTTATTATTTTTTAAAGATGCTTTCTGTAATTAACTAGATATCACAGAATACATAAGGGCTTCAATATTTAGGCCCTCTGATACTGGTTTAAGCAGCCCCACTAACTAAAGCAAAGTCTGGAGGTCGTGTTTATGCTACTGAAGAGAACTTGCACAAATATCCACTCTTGGATCTTATACCTAATGGGAGAATGGGTTGGAAAACTCACGTTCCACATTTGTGGTGTTGGTACTATGCAGAATCTCACATGCGCATTTCAGTGCATGCAGACCACAAAGGGAAATGACTTGTGCTGACTGGGAGTCATGACATATGAATAATTGATGCTCACTTTGCTACTCTTCTGTCCTTCTCCATTTCCCACAAGGTACTTACAGGCAACAGCAAAAGGGTTTACTTCTGAGCACTGGAGGAATTATCTCCCTCTGTACATGTTGAGCAAGACAGGAAACTGTGGAAAGAGAACTTCATTATCACTTTATGTTACCACGGTCATTTCTCCACAACTAGTTTAAATTGCCATAGAGGACCAGAATCTAGTCTTGTTTTCTCTGTATTTGCATTTTGTATTTGTATGTGTAGTGTTTTTGGTGTCTCTCAAATAAACTAACATGCTATCTATGGCAAAGAAGACACTCAAATGTTTATTACTGTATTGGTTGAATCTAGGCCACAGGAAGAATTTCTAATATCATAATGAATAACTTGCACTACTTCAGACATCACACATACTGTATCCTTTGTCACAATAGCAACAGGCATTGATATGTCATTTTGTTAACTGGAATTGTGCTCAATAAGAGAGTGCAAAGTCACTAGTTGTTTGTAATTGTTATGAAAATCTTTTTTAATTTCCAAAAGTTATTTTCAACCTAAATGTTTAAAAAATAGTGCTTACAGTCTTCCATGGGAAATATTTACAAATTATCTTGTTCTTTCTTGGATATTACATTTGTTATTAAAGGCAGAAGTGAACCGTTTTCAAGATACAAAGAGACTCCTTCAAGATTATTACAGGGGACTGGAAGGCAAAATCCCAACAGAAGACAATAAGAAATTTACTCGAATCCCATTGGCCCAAATGGATAGTAAAGACATTTCAGAAAACCAACTTAGGTATGTCAGACTATCATTTCACACTGTAATTATATTGAACATAAAATTTTATGATTTTAAATCAACTGCCACTAATAAAAATCATGTTCTTTTATCTGCATATCCAAAATCCAAAAATTGAACACTTTTTTTCTAATTTCAGTATGTCATTGACTTAAGACTATTAATAAACATTATTTATCCCACATATAGGGAATATTTTCTCATTTTACTGAAGAGATATAATGCATTTTATTGTGGAGTTCTTTTGTAGACTATGCTGGAGGTATTCAAGAATACGTGGTATATATAAATTCTGAATTCTGAACTACGTTTGGCCCCAAGGTTTCTCGTGAGAAATTATGAAAGGACCCTAGAACTTGTGTGTGTGTGTGTGTTACATTGTATAAATGAAAGTAAAGGGTTCTGAACCCCCCCCTTTTTTTTTGGAAATAAGGAAACTGGGAAGCAGTAAATACTCAGTAGTATGTAATTATCACCTCATGAGACTACCTAAAAGACTTAATAGTAGTCTAACATCACATTTTGCCAGCAAAAAAATTAAACTTGGTGGTAGGGTAAAAGAAAAATTATATTTTCAGACAAGCAAATTTTGTATAATATAAAAGTCTGTAAGTCATTGTTTCTATTGATCCAATAGGTAGTATCAAGAAAAGAGCAGGATCCCAAACCTTGAGAAACTAGGAGTGGTAATAATTCCTGTGATGGGGTTTCCAACTATAAAACATTCAAAAAAGAGTTAAAAGTAAGAATTAAAATAAATGAAGATAATAAAAAAATAAAATTCAAAGTCCTTAAAAATTAAATTTTAATTAAAAATAAATTAATATAATATAATGAAGAATTAAAACTTTTTTCTCACAACAAGTAAGCAGGTCATAAGAAACAGAAAATTAATATGATATCAGACATGAAGGGGAAAGGAAGTTAGATTTTAAAAATAATATACAAATAATTAATGTTAAATTAAAATTCCCAAGGAGATGAACTACGTATTTTATATTGAAAGCAGTGTTCTGTTTTTACAAGCTTGCTCAGTCAGCACAAGTGCCAGGAGCTGCACAAATTAAATGTAGAGTAGTGAATATATTTTAAAGTCAGACATCTACTTTGAATCCTGGGTCTGTCACTCAATTGCTGTATGTAAATAAATGGACAATGCATTTGTCTGGTCAAGTCACTTCAACTTTCTTAAGCCTTGGTCTCTTTATCTATAAAGTAGGGTCATTGTGAGGATCACAGAAAAAAATCTACAAAGATTTTGGTAATGTTGTGGAATCAGAAGACTTGAAATTGAATCCCAGTAATTCTCAATAAATGGTGACTACTACCTACATGCAATATTTTAATTCTGAGTATTGCATGTTCCCTGTTTCTTTTACTCTCCCTTGTTCCAAAAAGGATTTGAGATGGCCTGAACATGATATGCAGTGATCTAAGGTCCTTTTCTTCTCTTCCTAGGCTTCTTCCATCTAATGCCACCTCATCCCTGTCAGGCCCATGTGCACACAAAAACACACAAGAGGAAAAGCGTGTCCCCTCTTCTTGATACAAATATAAGAGAAATGTTCAGCAAGCTACTGAAAGATAACTCTGAAGATTAAAAACAATAAACAATTTCAAAGGCAATATGAGCCATTAGAACCATCAAAGGAGGCCAAGCTGCAATGTCTAGAGGGGCAGTGCATTCTGTTCTTAGCACAGAATAGGCAGTCAGGCACAATGGGGAAGCTATTAAAGTTGGCTGGTAGAATGAAACTGACAAAAGAACAGACTGTTTGTATTTTCTGCAAAACACTTCTGCACCAATCTCAACTTCAAATCACTTCTGTGACTAACTCCTGGAACTATCAGTCGATCAATATATCAACCAATCAGCCACATTTTCTGTAACATATATAGGGAAACAAGCGCAGTATTAAGAATTTTCATATAGTTTTTCTACTTTATTCCTTCCAACAACCTTATAACATTAATAGTAATAGTATAGTAATATTATTTATAATAATAGCTTATAATTAGTTGATAATGAATAATTAGTTATAATAATAGTAGTTTTATGATATTTGCATTATTTCAAGAGAGCCTGAACCTCAAAAAGTCAAATTACATGCTCAAGTTCATATCTACCAGTAGTGACTAGAATATAATTACTAGAGCTGCCTAGACCAGAGCTTTTTCTAGTAAAGAATTTTAAATCCAAATTCTTTTCCTAGGTGATATAGCAACACTGCTGCCCTCTAAAGCAAGATATTGGAAAATACTTATTGTACCGTATTAACACCTAGAGATGATCACATAAGCTTTACCTTAATGTATTGAACACATGAATCAGTTGAACTGGAGTGACAATGATTTAGGCTTATTTGATTATTAATATATAATTTAATTTGTGGGTAGGTGGGTAGTGGATCCTTAATACATTGCCTTTTCAGGCACGGCACACTGTGAGATTTCAAACACTATAAGAATCAGAGTGCAAAGTTCAAGAAACCTTGTCTGATGCTTCAAAACAAGACCAAGCTAGCTGTTTGCTGGAGATCACAATCATCTTTCTGAATCACTGCTCTGTTTCCCAGCAACTTGAGTCTATGAAACCAAGTGCTTTTTCTTATGATGGATCCTGACTCTTCCCAAGTTTCAACAAAGGCATCCCTGGAGCTACTTTCTCCTCCTTCCCCAAGCTGAGAGCCGTTTACACTCCTGTCACCAAAGGTGGATCCCAGTCACAAGAAGCATTCTATCTTACAGATGTCTCCCTGCTTCTGTTAACTTTTTAGATCCTGAGATCCTTCAAGGACAGGATATTCCCAGGGGAGCTCTAAAATGACTACAAGAGTGAAAATAGGGGAAGAGGGAGGGAAAGTGGAACTCTGTGTTCCTACAGCACTTTACAAAACAAAGAGAACACCTTCCCTTCCACAATCAAGAGAGGGTAGATCTGCAGGAGGGCTACATTGGCCCCAACAAAACTGCTGACTCTGCAGAATCCCATCTTAGACCTTCCATTAGTCATGTGCTTCTTTCAGACAAAATTGGATGTGTACAGAGTTGTATGACCATGGACACTCATGTTGTACTTTTAACTGTCCACCTCAGGATGCCAAATGATACTAGTCACTTTAGACAAGTGATGCCCAGTTTTGTTGGGTTTGCCTTTTTGTGGTTGGGTTTTCCAATTATCCTTCATTGGAAGTGTATGCCCTGGACAAATTTCAAAATCATATTTCTTCATAATCACCTGTTTAATTCTCTGCTTTATAATTACTGAGAATTAAATCTGAAAATTATGTTTTCTTGTCATTTGTTTTGAGTTTCCTCTTATTAACGAGATTTTCTAGACCAAAAGTATTGAGTACAATCTTTTATCCATTAAGAGAATTCTTCTGGAGAAAATTTGAAAACTGAGGTTAAAACAAGACAACAAAATTCACAAGGTAACATGGTCACAAAAATAGAATTTAGTTAAATAAAATTTTTATATTTCTTTCATTTGTTTTTCAAAGAATTCCTCTAGTTCCTCGAATATCCATTTCTCCAGAAACAGCTACACCCAAACCAAAAACAAAAGCAATACTGAAAGGCAAGATTGATTACTCATTAGAAAACATAGAGTCAAACTTTGAGGCAGATGAGAAGTTGATCCTGGACACCTGGCAGCAGGCTTCTTTAGCAATCTCTCACATGGTAAGCAGTGCTTCTTCCATTTTGTTTTAATAATACCCAATCATTAAATACCAAGGTTGGTAATATGTTATAAATAAAAGATTTATATAATATTCTCAAGCATTGTATAAATTTATGCCTTCAAGCTATTTTTAGAAAGAAATATGAAGAGAAATGATTTGGCCAACAAATATTTGAGATTAAGAAATATTGAGCCAATCCTCAGGTTCCAAGTATAGGGCCTAAAGGGTCAGTGGGGGAATTTTAATGAAGCAGGTCAAGTATAAAACAGCAGGGAGGGATGGGTTGGGGCATGTGGAAATCATATCCCTTTCTGCAGGGGCGTGTGCTCTGCACTGACCAACTTTGCCATTGAAGACTGAGACCGGGGCACACCTCATTAACAAGGGTACCTGCATAATGAACATTTGTATATCTAACCCTGAATTGTGCCCCACATCTTTAAAATTAAAAAAAAAAAAAATTAAAAAAAAGAATCAGCCAGGTATGGTGGCAGTACCAGCAGCCACAGCTACTTGGGAGACTGAGGCAGAATGATTGCTTGAGGCCAGGAAAAAAAAAAAAAAAAGATTGAGGCTTAGCATGGCCAAACTTTCCAATTTTTCAAGAAAAGCCCAGAAACGTATATTTTGTTTTTTGCAAAACTACTGATTTTAACATGTAATAAATAGAATAAAAATTCTTAAAAATACTCTACAGGGCCAAACAAAACACACATCTTGCCTAGGGCCTCTAGTTTGTACTCTGCTAGACATTTTTCCTAGGATCCTTGAAGAATTAAAGTTCAGAAAAACTAAGGACCTGCTCAAGTTCTAGCACGTAAGTGTCAAAATGAAATTTGAACCTAGGTCTGTATTACTTCAAAGTCCATATGTTTTTCTATCTAAGTCAAAAGTGAAAGGAAAAGCATTCAGATAACTTTAAACCAAGCAGAAGTGTCACACCATGCGGAAGACACACACAGAGTTTCACTCAAATGATAGTCCACTGCTCCCTCATCTGTCAGGTCTGGGTCCACCAAGATGTTTTCTATTCCCATTCTGTGCCAAGCCTTCTTTGAGTTTCATTCAAACAGAAAGCAGTGCCAACTTTCCAAAAGATTTTGTGACACACGTAGAAGAAGAGTTTGCATCACAAGTCTCATACAAACACAATTTCTGATTGGGCATTGTCCAAGTCCCTTCTTGGCCTCTCTACCTCCAGAATTCATTTTCTCTGACTTTGTCATGCAACAGTCTCAATGTTTTCTTTCTTTGCCCCTCTTTCTTTTGTTCTCCTCACTTCTTTCTTTTCTTCCTCTCAGAAGTGATTATAAACACATCTCATTGTCTTGCTTCTTTTGATAAACATTTTAGTGTTGGAAACATATAAGGAAAGTGCATGAAATATAATTGCATGGCTTAACAAACTCACCTAAAGTAACTCTCATGGCACCACTACAGGGGGAGAAGTGGAACAAGGGCTGCATCTGACTAGTCCTACTGTGTCTCTTCCCAATCCCAACCTTCTTTGTCCTTCTAAAGAGGACCGCCATCTTGCCTTTCTAGGAATTATTTCCTTGATGTTCTTAAAAGTTTTATTACCCAAGTCTATATTTCTAAACACTGTAGTGAAACTTTGCCTTACTTTTGAACTTTAAATAAATAAGTAGGTTCATATCTTTATATATTTTGTCTTTTTTGTGTCTTCTTTTGTTCAACATTCTTTGTGAGATTCATCCCATGTTATTTATTTTTTGTTACTGTATTATACTGCATTATATAAATGCAACACAGTTTATTTAACCAGCCTGCTATTGATAAACATTTGGGTTTCCAGGTTGGTGTCACTATGGATACACTGCTATGAACATGCTTGTACATGTCCACTGATAGCCATTTGCACACATAACTATTGTGTATATATCTATTATGTGCTATCATCAACATCAGTAGACAATAGTATACATAATAGTTTAGTTTTCATAGATAAGGCTTAATCCTTTCCCCATTTTACTATGCTATCACTTTTGTCTTACTCTAGAGGTCACATATGGGTGGGTCTATTGTATTGCTGTCTATCTTCTATTGCTCTGTTTGTCAACACCACATCAATATCATACCAGTTATTTGTTATCTGGATGAGCAAATCTTCCCACCTTGTCATCTGTCAAGAACTTTTGGATTTTCTTGGCTTTTTGCCTTTCCATATTAATTTTCAAATCAGCTTGTCAAGGTTTACAAACATGTTTGGCTGTGGATTTTTAAGGCAATATTTATCAGTTTATGAGCATTCCTTTTCATATCCAGTTTACTATGAGGGATTTTTTTTTAATGAGTTATATTATCAACTCCTTTTTCTGCATATATTATCACATGATTTTTCTCTATTTTCTGTTAATGTGAAAAATCATGTTGATCAATTTTCTAATGTTAAAGTTGTATCACATTTCTAAAGTAAGTTCAACATTGTAAGTGAAACATCATCCTCCTTACATATTGCTGGGCTGTTTTGTTAATAATTTGTTTAGGGTTTTAGAATCTTTGTTCATGAGTAAGCAAATTCTATAATTTTTCCCTCTTGTCAATTTCTAGTGTCTAGGTAATACTAACTTCATAAATTGAGTCCAGGTATGTTTTCTTTCTTTCTATTCTTTGGAAAGTTTTGTACAAATTATCGTTATTTCTTCTTGAAATGTTTAGTAGCATTCACTAAGATGCTATCTAGGCCTCAATTCTGAGAGGAAGTTTGTAGAAAGAGTTTTTGTTGCCTTCTTACTGCCCAAGGATTCATTTTCTTTAGTAGACGTATGATATTTCTGAGTTGTTTCCTCTTGGAAGATACTTGAGTTGAATTTGGTAAATTTTAGCTTGCTAAGAATTTTTCCATTTAAATGTTTAAATTTATTGGCATGAAGTTGTTTAAAATATGCTTTTATGTTTGTGTTAATATTTACAGTATCTATTTGATGTTACCTTTGCTAATTCTGCTGTTGATTATACTCTTCCCCTTTCCCTTATAACTTTGTTAGAAGTTTGTCAATTATATCAGTCTTTCCAAAGAACTGACTTTTAACTTCATTGAATTCATTTTACTATGATTTTTTTCTTAATATTATTTTTTTCCTCCTATTGTCTTCTTTGGTTTATTTTGCCATTCTTTCTTTAGGACCTTAAAGAAGGTCCTAAACCTTCATTAACTTGAGTCATAGCTCATTAACTTCAGTCTTTTTTTTTAATATATGTATTTGCTACTATAGAACTTTCTCTGTGACTTACTTTAGCTTTCTCTCAAAGTTTTTGATAAGTTGTTTTTGTTATCATTCAGTTTAAAGTATTTTAGAAACATGTTTTTTTCAAAGTAATATGTTACTTTCTAGCTAGATTGTATTTGAATCAGAGAACACATTTTCATAAAAACTTTTTGAGATTTGCTTTATGGTCAATCTTGGAAATGTTATGTAATGTCCTTGAAATATATGTAGTCATTTAATTGCTTAATTTACATGTTATACGTTGTTTAATATATAGCTTATAGCTTATATATGCACACATTCAATATATTTATTTATTTTATGTATTATACACATATTTAAATATATATAGTACACATATAACATTGTTTAAATCTTCTTTATCCTTATCAAAGTTTAACTTATTTAGTCAATAACTCATAGTGTTATCCCTAGAATCATCACTAAGTGTTTTAGTGTGCATTACTTCAAAGCTAGTATAGGGGAAAAAAGAAATAATATAAAATATTCAATACAGAAGAAGAAAAGATAATAGAAAAATATTCAGGAAAAGAGGTACAAATAGAAAGGACATAGAAAGATGGTAGGTTTATAGTCCAAATATATCTATAACTACATTAAATTTAAAAGGACAAAATAATCTAGATAAAAGAAAATAATTATTAGATTTTTTTTTAAAAAAGCATACGAACCTAGAAGCTCAGCCCTCCATATCTTGGCTGGTACCAACTCATCAAACCCTCTCATAAACTGACTGGATATTGCTTGCTGCATTTTCTTTGGACATTACCAATTTCAATATCTATACTGATGCCATTTTTCCCTCCTTAAAGAGATTCCTGCTTCCTTCTATTTGCTTAAGTTCTATACTTTCTTTAATTCTTCAGAAATAGTTTCTACCTTGATTCTTGATCAGTTAGTTGCCTGTTTCTGAAGCACTAGTCTTCTGTGATCATATGCTCTTTCTTTTGTAGCAGTTATTGTCTCTCTCACTTATTTGGCTCTTAGCATCTAGATTTTTTTTTTTTTTTTTGTAATTTTCATCTTGCTGGTCATTTGCCTGAATAGTTAAGTAGATTCTAAAACTTTTTATATGCCCTACACTGAGAATAATCCCCACAAATAACATAACAGTAAGCTCTCAATAGAGTCTTGAGATGCTATTGCAGCTCTCTGATATTAATATTAATGGTGATGATAGTACAATGATACAATGATGATAACTGCAAAGACCACAGCAAGTATCAAACACCAGAGAGTGGAAAATCAGATGTAGAAGCTCTAGGAAAAAATGTGAATTATTCTTATTGTTAATTGAGCTATATAAATATAAACTATAAGTCTATGAATCTCATTAAAATTACCTGGGGAAGTGACACTTAAAAATATTATACTCAGCTGGGCGCGTGCAGTGGCCTAGCCTGTAATCGCAGTACTTTGGGAGGCTGAGGTGAGAGGGTTGCCTGAGCTTGGGGATTCGAGACCAGCTTGGGCAACTTGGTGAGACCTCATCTCTACAATTAAAAAAAAAAATAGCCAGGTGTGATAGTGTGTGCCTTTAGTTCCCACTACTTGGAAGGCTGAGATGGAAAGATCGCCAGAGCCCAGCAGATCGAGGCTATGGTTGCCGTGAGCATGCCACTGCATTCTGGGAGACAAGAGTGAGACTCCAACTCAGAAAAAAAAAAATTATACTCTTAGAAGCGGAGGATCATATAGCACAAAGAACACTAGCTACACTTGATTAAGCTGTGTGATTTTAGGAAAATCATTTAACCCCTCTGCGTTTGTAATGCCTTATCTGAAACATTGGAGATATTCTGTCTATCCTTTATTGAATGGTTGAAAAGATCTGATGAACTAATGTATTAAAAAGTGTTCCAGAAACTGTAAATTTGAACTGATTATTATGTTAAGAAATTTATTTAAAGTTATACCATTTTCTTGTAGATTTTTTAAAACTTCATATAAAGTATATAAAGACTGGTTAATATTTAATTTACTAATATTATATTTGAATTCTGCTCTTATATGCTTTTAAAAGACTTTTATGACTTTGATGTCACATAATCTTAAGGGAACTTTGAGTTCCAAAGGAAACAGATGTAATTCAGTAAATTGTTGCCAGGCAAACAGTACTAGCTAAGATTAGTGCAATTGAAATGAGAGCACTTTAACATTAGCTTTTTACTATACGGTAGTTTTACCAAGAGGTATCCATTTAGTAGGCTATGTTAATTTTTGGCAAAACTTGTTTCTAATTAGTAGGTATGTAATGATTTCAAAGAAACAAGTCATATTTTTAACGCCCACAATGTCAAGGCATTACATCTAAAGTTCTCTTCAGCTTTATAAGCTAGATTGCTGAATGAATTGTGAATTATGTTAATTTTTGATAGAGACCCAGAGGTCTTTGAGGGAAGTGTACCAGAAAAATGCAGATAATTATGATGCATAATTATGCAGATAATTATAATAATTATCATCATCATCACCCAAGGTTGTTTACAAGGAGAAAAATCCAATTTTGAAGGAAATTGCTAACTTATCGTGCTTTGCAGGAATCGATTAAAACCTGAATTACTTGCAATTTAGGAGAAATGTTAACAAGTCTGCTTTCAGCTTTACCAAGAACTAGCAAGTACAGTATATGGTATGAAATTCATGTTTATCAAAAGAGCATCTGGAAAAAAAAAAAGCAAAAACAGCTTGCTCTCTAAAACCTTTTAGTATCCCTCCAAGTTTCTGTTGATATTGAAGAAGCTGCGGGTGCATTCTGTGGAAACCATTTTTTTTTTTAAGTCCATCAATTAATAAAATGTTCTGGGTATCTCCTTTGAGCATAGCACATGTGCTCAAAACTATGGAGGTTACAAAGAAGTAAGACTGACTTAACTCTGGGGCATTAAGTCCCATTTAGAGGGTGGGACAAGACTTAACACAGTAACATGCTGCCATGGGGTATGATGTGTAGCAGGAATCTGGGGAAGAAACTGAGTGATTTGTCTCACCCACAGCACTGTAGGATTTTTTGTTGGTAGAGAATGTGCTTTGTTCATCTTTCTATTCACCTCCTTTAATCTTCTTTTTCTTATCTCCATTCTTCCCAGAAATAATATCAGACTTGGGCTCAGTAATCAGTTGAATAAATAAATAAACCCTCAAGAACCTGTTTCCTTATCAGTTGCTTTGTTGAGATTTTAAAGTTTTCAACCATATGCTGCTACTGCCAACTAAAGTGTGTGTGTGTATTTTGTTTCTTCATTTGGGATTCTTTTTTCAGCTCTCATTTCCTAGAGCTATACTCATAAATCCCCTTCAAGGTAGCTGGATTTATCTCAAAAGGCCCAGTATTTCTAACTGCAGGCACAACCTCAGTAGCACAAGCCCCAAGACAAGGCATGCGAGGGTCCCCCAAAATGGAATTTACTTATTAAAAAATTGTGTATTTATTCTTTAAACTTCAGTCAGCTTCAAAGTACTCTCCATTTGATGCAATATGCCTATCAAGATGCCTTTTCCACTGCTCAAAACAGTTGACAGTGTTGATGGTTTAAAGCTTCTGTTTTTTGTTTGTTTGTCTCACCTCTTCCACATCAGCAAAATGTTTTGCTTTGAGAACATTTTTCATTGGGGGAACAAAAAAAGTCACTTGAGATGAGATCAGGTGAATAGGGAGGGCAGTTTTGATTAAAAACTGCTGAACTTGCTGCACATTGTGGGCAGATGCATTCATAAATCACACATCATTAAACAGGCAAATGTGTTGAAAGAATCTCCAAAAAAAGTTACTGAAGCCGAATGCAGCCTCTCACAACAATGCTAGCTGGTACATTAATGCTGATGGGTTCCTTGAACACTTAGTAGCAGGGAAAGCCTGTACTACTAGGAGTCCACCTTCCAAATTATTTTTAATAATTCTGTTTTGGGGGGATCCCCTTGTATATATAATATGCCTTATATATTGCATGTATACTTATCTATATAATTTTAGTTTATCGATAATACTTGTATCCATTTATGAGGTACAATGTGATGTTTTGATGTATGTATACATTGTTTAATGATTAAATCAAGCTAATTAACATATCCAGTACTTTACTTATCATTTTTTGTGTTAAGAAAAATTGTACTTTTTTAGCATTTTTAAAATATACAACACATTATTATTTACTATTGTCACCATGCTGTGCAATAGATCACCAAAACTTATTCTTCTAGTCTAACTGGGCTTAGTACTTAGATATATACACAGTACAAAATCAAATACACTTCTACAGTATTAAAATTTCATGGGAAGTATTGTGTTTAGGAGAAAATGTTATACACACAAAAACTCCATAGTGGATCAGTTATGAATAAAAGGTTAAGAAACATTGATATAGAGAAATGCCCCGGATTGGAAGCCTAGAGGTTACAGGAATTTAGAAGAATAGTGGGTGTTAAATTCCTAGAGTATAGGATTAAAAAGAAAGGAATTTTTGCAAAACCTTGGAGTTGTCACTGTCTGGAGGTGGCAATAAGAAAACATAAGGATGCTTTGCAGGCAAGGCTGAGAAAGTGACCAGCCACCACACAGATGGTTGTAGGGAAGTCCCACATTGCAACAGGGTCAGATTTCTGCTTCAATAAACATTGCAGTGTGTGTTTTGTAAAGATTGTGCACATGAGCATGCTTGTTTACAGTGGCATGAGGTTTCAAAAGAATCTAATAATGACTAAATCCAAATGGTTGTTATATTTCATAAATGTTGCGCTAACTGAAATATTGCTGTTATACAACCAGGTGGCTGCTGAAATTCATCAGAGACTCATGGAAGAAGAAAAAGAAAACCAGCCAGCAGACTCAAAAGAAAAATCTCCTCAGATGGGTGCAAATAAAAAAGTAAAAAAGGAACCACCCAATAAAAAAACAGCAAACAAAAAACCCAAAGGTATGTATGGGTTTAGCACCCAGAACCCTAGATGCTTAAACTCTTCTTGGTAGAACAAAAGCATTTAACTAGAAACATTAGCATCTAAGCCACTAAAATACTGTTCATTATGTTTAGGCTAGAGAGTAAGCCTTCTATGAGCTGTGGTGTTAGTTAGCAAATCACATTGCCTACTAGTCGCCCCAACCTATTTATCCAAAAAGCCAGATGTATCCAGGGCAAAATAAGCTGCAAAGATTAACATATTAAAGGAACTTCCATTATGTCATGAAAAGTCTGTGCGAAGGGGCTGACACTTGCTATAGTAACAAAGAGAAGTTTAAATCTGTATGTGTGTAAGTTTCAAGGGTACCTTAATTTAAACAAATCCTTCAGCCATAGAGGCCCCATACCTAAAACGCAGCCTCAGAAGCATGATGGAAAACAAATAGGAGACAAAACTTGGGTTGGAAGAGACCTTCAATTAACCTTAGAGATAGCTTTGGCACAAAACTCTCCTCTGAATGTGTCCAATTGTTCATTTTGGGGCAACTTGAGGCTAGGGAGGAAGCATGAGAAGCACACAAGCAAAAGTCACTCCACTCATGGATTGCCCATGATGTGTTTATTAGCACCTGCTTTGTGAAACACTCTAGATGGATGCCCTGGACACAAAAGCAAATTACAAATAAAAACAAAAACGTCAATTAAGGCCCCTGCCCTATTGGTGCTGTAGACTAGCAGTAGAGACAGACATTTGACCAATTATTGTTCTTTCATAGGGAGGTGCAGGTGCCTTGAGAACAGGGTAGATCACCTCACTCCATTTGAGGGGTTCAATTCCTAGATGGAGAACCTTTAGGCATCGATGACTGGGGGTTAAGGGAATTCACTAAAGATGGAAGAGAGTGTGGCTTGGGGGCACTTAAAGGAAAGGGAAGAGGGGTATCTCAATAAAGAGCACACTACCTTAGTCCTTCTTAGATGGCAAAAATAAAAGAAATATGCGGCACTTAAAAGAAACGCTTCTGTTTAATAAAATAGCTGGTTGAGTCCAATCTCTTAATTTTACAGATGATAAGACAGAAATCCAGAGAGATTCATCTCTCTTTTACCTGTGATTTATACATACATCTGTTATTGCAATGAACATATTGTACATGAATTTCTTCATTAACATTTATGTCTTCTTCACAAGATTTGAACCCTTTGAGGTCTGACCCTCAAGAAAGATTTGTTGAACTGAGTAGAATTGTGTAACCTGGGCCTGCAACTAGAATAACACTGCCACATCCTATGGATAAATTCTTTTTTAAAAAAATATATTTTTATTTTAAAAATTTTATTTATATTTTTATTTTTATTTGAGTTGGACTCTCACTCTGTCATCCAGGCTGGAGTGCAGTGGCATGCTCATGGCCACTGCAGCCTCCACCTGCTGGGCTTAGGCGATCCTTTCACCTCAACCTTCCAAGTAGCTGGAAGTATAGGCACGCGCTATCATGCCCAGCTTTTTTTTTTTTTTTAATTTATTGTAGAGACAAGGTCTCACCAAATTGCCCAGGCTGGTCCTGAACCCCTGGGCTTAGGCAATCCTCTCGCCTCGGTCTCACAAAGTGCGGCAATTACAGGCTAAGCCACCGCAACTGGTCTATTTTTATTTTTCATTAAAAAAAATTATTTTAAAGATGTGGGGTACAATTGAGGATTAAGTATACAAATGTTCATTGTGCAGGTAAATTCTTTTTTTAATTTTTAAATTTTTTTATTTTAAAGATGTGGGTTATAATTCAGCGTTAGGCATACGAATGTTTATTATGCAGGGACCCTTGTTGATGAAATGTGAAATTCTTAAATAAGTACTGAAAAATCCTTATTTTCTAATTCTCTCATGTAATCACTGATGTAGTTAAGTTCTAATTAAAATACAATTAAGTAGTTTGCAGATTCTTGACCATCACCTACATTTTAGTCATATCTTCTTGAGTTTATTCTCTGATCTTTTTTGGTGAAGACCTGGGAAGCACTTTGCAAATGCAAGCTATTCATATTTTTATTCCAATTTATGGAGTGGCACTTCTGCAGTTAGCTAATGGTGTCTGCAGTATGTTGGAATTTACTAATTTCTGTCCTCATACTCCGAATATCACCATGTTTGGAGTCTGTAACCCTCTCTACACTTGCTACATATCTCATTTTTTTAAAAAATGATGCTATACAATTAGGGCGTTTTATATGAGTCCAGCCCAGAAAATTCTTAAGAATAGACTGTCAATATTTCATCACTTACATTGGGAGGGAGGATCAAGATTCCTCATTTCCAAATTACTAGAGGTTTATAGCTCTGAAAATTTGCTTTATACTCCTTTTGTCCAAGTACTGTATGCATACACTTGTATGTTGGTATTTTACTCAGCATGTTTCTTTGCCCTTTCAGGTAAATCACCACCCACAGCAAAAACCTCTCCTGTGATAGTAACAGAGGAGGAAATCGCTGAAATTGAAAAGAAAAACGAACTGAAGCTCAAAATAAAAGAAGAACACCTTGCTGCCCTGCAATTTGAAGGTAGCTGTTAGAGTCACTAAGACAATGCTTTTCAGTAGAAAGTAGACCAGAAGGAAAGCAACCCACAACTGGCTCATTAATTGTTTCACACTGTGTTTATGAGAACATATAACAAACTAACTGAAAGTTCAAAATTTGGTGTTGGTTGTTTTCTTTTAACCATATGAGGAATAGACCTATTTTAAGTCAAACGTTTTGGCATAACCTAATCAGTCTTAATTGTCTGAGGGCTCTCAAAAAGAACCAAGAATTTGGGAAGGGGTTAAAATAGTAATAACTGTAATTAAAATATCAAAAAATAGAAACAAAATGTTTGTAATGTGTGATTTTATAGGTTTAGGAAGGACTGCCTAAAGTAAGCGGTTTTATATTACAATAAAATAATTTAGTTTTTTCATTAGGAAAATAAATCCTGACCAAAGGCTAACAGGCCCTAAAAGTGAATTCTTGGGAGCAGAGGCCGTAAAAGAGCCTGTTATGCATCTATAATGTTCAAGGGCATTCTCTATAGATAACAATAACTTTACAAGACCATATTTTCCTTATGATTCTTTTAATTATCTTATAATGCAATTTAATATGAAATGAAAAGAACAAAAAACTGAGCAAGCATATCCTATGAAAGGAACCATGGTCAATATACTAGAAAACAAAACCATAAAAATGCGGCATGGAGTACGCTGAGACATCTCCTCAATGACCATTTACTATTAAGACACTTTCCATCCCTTACTTCTCTCCTTTTCTCTTTACTCTCCCCTGACCCCATCCTAATGCTGCCTGCTTCCATAATCCCAACAGCAAAATCTGAAGTCAGTTGAAGACAGGGAGATTTGTGGCATCAGGAAAGGCAGGACCATGCTTTTCCCCCACTGCCTGTCTCATATCTAATATTAGTGGTTTTCATTATACTTAATCACTCAGTTCATTCAGCACATGATCCTTAGTGTAGCAAAATTTATTCATTCCTATAATAAATGTTTATTAATTTTCACTATGTACCAAGTCCTATGATAGTTGCTAGACACACACACACACGTACACACACACACACACACACACACACACACACACACACACACACACGCACACACACACATATACAAACATAAAAAAAATACATAAAAAATGAAGCCCAATCTAGAGGAAGAAAGATACAATCACTTATAATATATTGTGATAGCTGTGATAGTCCCAACTACTAGAGAAGTGAGGCAAAGAATCACTTGAGATTGAGTTCAGCCTGGGCAACATAGTGATATCTTGTCTCTTTTTAAAAAAATAAAATAAAAAAATAAATAAAACATGTATATATATACACACACACATATATATACACACACACACATACACACACATATATGTGTGTATGTGTCATATAATAGTGATATTGATTATAGACATCATACGGGACAAAGGGAGTATAGAGGGAGTCAGGAAAGACTTCTCAGAGGAACTAATGCTTGAGTAGAACGGGAAAAATATGGAGAAGTTTTACCAGGGAATAAATTTGGATGGGAATGAAGAGAAGTATGTGCCAAGGCAAAGAGAGGGGTAAGGAGCATATTCAGTGGCCTGCAGTAAGTAGCTCAGGAGTATGAGGAATGTTCTAGGAAGGACTGACTCAGAGATGAGGAGGCCAGGCCAAGGGTCATATAAGCTCTGCCAAGAAACTTGGATTTTTCTCTTATGGAGACTGGCAGCTAGTGAAAAATTCTGAGCAGAAGAGCAACTATTACCACACCTGCAGGTGAAATGGATTACTTTGGGCATTTTGGAAGTAGATTAGGGTATGAGGTGGGGAAAGTTAGAAAAAGCAGGATTGAGACTATTGCAACAATTTAGATGAGAGATTATCATTGCTCAAACTAGGCAATGACAATAGAAAAGGCAAAGATGAAAAATCAGAAAGATTTTAGAGATGAAATCTACAGATTTTATTATGTGCCAGGACCAGTTACAGGTCCAGGGGTACATAGATTTTGCCTTACTTTTGGCAGTGCTGGGAAATACAATGACATTCCCACCCAAAGTCCTAAAGTAGGGACATAAGCAAGAGACTTTGTCCCTTGCTCCCTTTTTGAAATCCAGAAATTATCTGTGTTTTCATGATTTGCTTATCAAAGATTATATTGCTATAAAGTGCAATACGTTTACAGCTCAATTATAGTTTTGGTTTAGATAATCTCTTAAATGACTCTGCCACACATTACACATTTTGCATTTCAATGAGATGAATATTACCTTATATATATTTGTATATTAAATATGCACCTAAAGTTTCACAATCTGAAGCATGAGCAGTTTAAAAGCGAATCTGTTCGTTAGAAAGTGCATGTACAATGCAGTAGAATGAAACTAGATCCTTACCTGTCACCATATATAAAAATTAACTCAAAATGAATCAAGGACTTAGATGTAAAACCTCAAAGTATAAGAATCTTTGAAGAAAACTTTGGGAACACCCTCTGGACATTGGAGTAGGCAATTAATTCATGGCCAAGTCCTCAAAAGCAAATGCAACAAAAACTAAGATTGACAGGTGGGACCTTAAACTAAAAAGGTTTGCATAGCAAAAGAAACCATCAAGAAAGTAAAGTGACAACCCACGGGACAGGAAAAAATATTTGCAAGCTGTGCATCTGACAAAGGCCTAATATCCAGAAGACATACAAGCAGCCAAGAAACACATGAAAAAACTATGCTCAGCCTCACCAATGATCAGAAAAATGTTAATCAAAACTACAATGAGATACTACCTCACACCAGTAAGGATGACTATCATTAAAAAGTCAAAAAACAACAGATGCTGGTGTGGCTGCAGAGAAAGGGAAACAGTTTTACACTGTTGATGGGAATGTAGGCTAGTTCAAACTTTGTGGAATGCAGTGTGGGGATTTCTCAAAGAACTCAAAATTGAGCTTCCATATGATCCAACAATCTCTTTTCTGGGAATATACCAAGAGGAACATAAATCGTTCTATGAAAAAGACTCCTTCCTGCACACAGATGTTCATTGCAGCACTATTCACAATAACAAAAACATGGAGCCAGCCCAGATGCCCATGGACTGGTTAAAGAAAATGTGGTAAATATACAGGATGTAATATTACACAGCCATAAAGAAGAACAAAAACATGTCCTTTGCAGCAATACGAATGCTGCTAGAGACCATCAGACTAAGTGAACTGTCACAGAAACAAAGAACTGAATGCTGCATATCCTCATTTATAAGTGGATCTTGATCACTGGTCACATGAACACAAGGGTGGGATTGGCAGACACTGGACACTGCTAGGGAAGGAAGGCAGGGAGGGGGCACATGGCCACACACTGGGTACCTGGTCCACTATCAGGGGGAAAGAGGGCCAGCTAGAAGCTCAAACTTCAACTGTATACAACTTACTTCTGTAGTAAATCCTCCCCGTACCATGCAACTCAAATAAAGTAAAAGAAAAAAGAAAATACATGTATATATATTGAGTTTAAATATCCTTATTTCTCTCTTTAAATAGAGAGAGCCGCTCAGTTTCGACTTGAACTGATAAAGACAAAAGCATCAGCTCTCCTTGAAGATTTAGTAACAAAGGTGGTTGATGTATATAAACTAATGGAAAAATGGCTTGGGAAGAGTTATTTGAATGAAATGGCCAGGTAAAGTACTGCATGGTTTTTCAAAAATATACCGTGTTAGTTCTGAGTGCCAAAATTGACAGAGATTTTTAAAGGTTTACAAATTTAAAATACATTAAAAATATAAATTTGATCTTTTAGAAAATCACACATATAAACACATAAAGTGAACTTTACTGTCATATTTGTATACTCTTTTCAAACAATAAATCATATACTAAAGAATACTATTGCAATATCCAGTTTTGAACATTATTTATGAGTTTAGTTTTCACACTATTCAATGAGAACCTCAGTTCAAGAGGTAAAATTATGGACAATTAAAAAATATATATATATATATATATTGTTTGAGATGGAGTCTCACTTTCATCCAGGTTGGAGTGCAGTGGCATGCTGCTCATGACCACTGCAACCTCGACCTGCAGGGATCAGGTGATTCTGCCACCGTAACGTTGCAAGTAGCTGGAACTACAGATGTGTACCACCAAGTATGGCTAATTTTCTTTTCTTTTTTATTTATTTATTATAGAGACAAGGTCTCACTGTGTTGCGCAGACTGGTCTCGAACCCATGGGCTCAGGCAATCCTCTCACTTCCGCCTTCCAAAGTGCTGGAATTACAGGCATGAGCCACTGCACCAGGCTTAAAAATATTTTCAGAAGTGATATAATGCTTCATATCTTCCTAATTTAGACTTATTATTAGTCAGAGACAATAAGTGGGAGATTAAGAAGTCATTCACTGGAACATTTTTACCAGTTAGGCTAATTCCCTTGTAATGTCAATATCCAGTTTTCTGTTGGATTCCAAAGACTTTCCAGTTCCTCATCACTAGTTAGGGGCAGTGAGTCTCATTCTCTTAGTTCTCCCCTCAAAGGCACAAAGAGGCAGCTCAGCGGAGTAAGACTTGATTGTCCAGACCAAGAGTCCCACGTTGACCACAAATTAGCAGCATGCATAATTGCTTTGGACCTCATGGGATTCATCCAGGCTGTTTCAGAGGTTTCTACTAGATTTAGATTCTGTGATGCACTACAGTTTCAACCAACATTGACTGAAAATTTAGAAGCTGTTCTGTAAATAGGATTCAAATGGCAAGTATTCTCAGAAGCAATAATTATCGTCTAAAAGACAGCTGTTGTGGTCTGTTTCCTATGGTTCTTGTCTCGTGATGAAAATTCTTCTGTAAAATCTTTAGTAGTTGTTTAGGGCTATTTGTTCATAATAAAAAGGAAGGAAGGAAGGAAGGAAGGAAGGAAGGAAGGAAGGAAGGAAGGAAATGCAAATGCAAACATATTTCAGGAAAATATATATTTTTCTATGATGTTGAATTTTTCATTGTAATATATAAACAAGATCCTTTCTTGAATACAGTGATAATGTACTTGTTCATGCATAAAAGTTCTCTGGCTTTTTGTTTTTTTTGAGTCGGAGTCTCACTCTGTCACCCAGACTGGAGTGCAGTGGCCACTCCCGGCCACCGCAGCCTCGACCTGCTGGGCTCCGGCAATCCTTCCACCTCAGCCTTCCAAGTAGCTGGAACTACAGGCGCGCGCTACCATGCCCGGCTAATTTTTGATTTATTGTAGAGATGAGGTCTCGCCAAGTTGCCCAGGCGGGTCTCGAATCCGCGAGCTCAGGCAATCCACTCACCTCAGCCTCCCAAAGGCGCGGGATTACAGGCTGAGCCACCGAGCCCGGCAGTTCTCTGGCTTTTAAACATAATGAGACTCCAACTCAAAAAAAACAAAAACAGAAACGAAAGAAAAGAAAATAAATCACATAAGGCAAGAGTTTAAACTGTATTACAGATCTTTTTATAGTCAATAGCCTAACTAAAGACCAGTTCTCTGGCTTTTAAAATGGTCTTTAGTTAGGCTATTAACTATAAATAGATCTGCAATACAGTTTAAACTCTTGCCTTATGCGATTTTTTTCTTTTCTTTCATTTTTTGGGCTTTTTTTTTGAGTTGGAGTCTCATTATGTCACCCAGGCTGGAGTGCAATGGCACGCTCATGATCACTGCAGCCTTGACCTGCTGGGCTCAGGTGATCCTTCCACCTCAGCTTTCCAAGTGACTGGAATTACAGACACACGCCACCAAGTTTTTGATTTATTGTAGAGACAAGGTCACACCAAGTTGCTTAGGATGGTCTCAAATTCATGGGCTTGGGCAATCCTTTCACCTCGGCCTCCCAAAGTGCTGGGATTATAGGTGTAAACCACTATACCCAGCCACCTTATGTGATTTTAATGCCTTACAGCAAAAATAATTTAACTAACCAAGTCCAATTACTTATCATCAAGATAGAGCAGTAATATTCAGTACTGTTCTCTGCCTACCACTTACAAATGAAAGCATTTCTTTATTCTTACGATTCTGGCATCCATCCATGTGGTCATCAAGTGTAAATGCATATTATTTTATCAGATGTACTCTTATTTCTCAGATTAGATTATGGCTTTCCCTCTGAATCTGCAGATGCTGTCATGAACTGTGACCCCGAGAAATGAAAACCTAGACATGTGATACAGAAAAAACAAACAAAAAAAATAGCTGTCAGTGTCCTTTGGCCTTCAAATCCTGCTTTTTTTTTTTTCCTAGCATTTTTTTCTTGAGATGATTACTCTTAGTAACTTTCCACTAGGAGGCGCATACCTGTTTTTCTATTCTGGCTTTGACTGAACCTCTGACTATTTTGGAGTCCCTCCTCACTCATGTAAACTTGGCTGATATCCAGTGCCCTTCTCTTCTGTCCCCTGGCACACACTGAAGCATAAACTAATTGGCTAATACATAGTAAATGGATACTTACAAAGAGAATTCTTGAATTGAATTCAAGGGCATCTTTTGAAAGACAGAAATTAATACTATAAAAAATTTTTAGTAAGGCCGGGTGCAGTGGCTTAAACCTGTAATCTCAGCACTTTGGGAGGCTGAGGCAAGAGGATTACCTGAGTCCAGGGGTTCAAGACCAGCCTGGGCAATTGGTGAGACCTCACCTCTACAGTAAGCCAAAAAATTAGCTGGGCATGGTGGTGTGTGCCTGTAGTTCCAGCTATTTGAAAGACTGAGGCAGAAGGTTTGCCTGTACCCAGCAGGTCGAGGCTGCAGTGGCCATGAGCATGTCACTGTACTCCAGCCTGGGTGACAGAGTGAGACTCCAACTCAAAAAAAAAAAATCAGAAAAAACGTTTTTAGTATATGGTATATTTGGCATTTCTGAATTATATAAAAGCAGATTAAATATGCATTTTAATATGTTCACTCTTTCATTGTAATATATTATCAGGATCCTTTCTTTAATACAGTGATAATGTACTTATTCACGTATAAAGCTTCTCTGACCTTTAAAATGGATTTTAATTAGGCCATTAACTATAAATACATCTCCAGTACAGCCTGAACTCTTGTCTTATGTGATTTCTCATTAATAACCATAAGGCAGGGGTGATGCAAAGACAAGGGCATTCAGAGAACTGAAGCGACTTACCCCAGGACCTGTGGCTAGAGAGTGTTCTGGGATGAGAACTCAGCTCCCAGTACTCTTTCCACTGCATCGTGGTGGTTCCTACTTGAAACTACACGATCTAGCCAAGAACTGTCGTTCTTCATGAAATTATCAAGGCTATTTTAATGGATTATATGCATCAGATGCTATTGTTATAACTGTGTCTTAGATAATGTCAAACTTTAAAATATAAAGTTAGAGAAAAGCCACTCTTCTAGATGTACATTATCAAATTTGACTCACTTTATAATTCAGCCTGAGTCAAAATAAGTGTATTTTTCTAACAGTCATATTTTACAGGACATTGTGCCACAGAACCCTATTCTGGCTCATACTTAGCGTGAAATGTAACACTCCCTTGACATAATCTTGCTTATATAGCAAAATTTTTTTTATTAATATAAGAATAAGTAATACTATTAAAATGCACCTAATGGATTCCCTTTATGTTTATTTGTATTAAATGCAGTAACTATTAGCTGTATAATAAGCATGTATCTTGTTATTCATCTGCATTTATTTATACCCTACCTTTTTACAAAATAGATTTAAGTAAAAATTACAATTTTTGGACATGTAGATGGAATTGTCTAACTTAGCTGTATAATGTGATTACTTTTGTATGTATGTCTTATAAGCAAACACTATCAATCTAATAGTGTCTTTGATGGGTATAATTCTATTCGTTTTACCACTTTCAGTATAGAAAAATTAACTGAGATTGCTCGCTATCACATTGAAACATCTACAAAAATTCAGAATGAACTTTACTTAAACCAAGAAGAGTTCTTCATTAACGGTGATATAAAAGTCTTCCCAGATCCTCCCCCACCAATACGTCCTCCACCTGTAGAAAAGGAAGAAGATGGCACCTTGACTATTGAGCAGCTTGACAATCTTCGAGATCAGTTCTTAGATATGGCACCTAAAGGTAAGAAATTTAATTATCATGAAAAGAGCACAAAAAAAGTTAAGGTTAACCAGAACATCAATCACTCGCCCATAAGTAGAATCATCTCTGTGGGATTGTATGGCACTAAAACAAGCAGTTACTTTGCTCTAGCTTATCAGATGTTTGCTTCATGCAACATAGACCTGAATTAAACAAGTGCAAGAATCACTGTGACGAATGCTTGAACAATGTATGATCCTCATTCCTGGTGATTCTTCTCTCCTGTCTTCCCTACCTCTTGCTGGCAAGTTGGGAGATTTGACAACCATTGTGCATACTTGGGGTTTTTGTTTTGTATTGGGGTTATGTGTCTGTGTTTCTGTCTGCCCCACTAATCTGTGAAGGGAGACCAGGGCTAGAGGATTTTCCTTTTATATTTGTCTTTTCCCTCGATGCATCATAGACCATAAGAAGAACCAAATAAGCTGTTAATAAATATCTGCTTAATTGATTAATTAATTTTTCCCATGTGTGTACATGTTTTCTGCACACAACATTTTAAATTCCTTCACATTGTATCATTATGTCTGTGCAACATCTGCACAAGACTTTTTTTTATTTAGGCTCTTCCTACTTCCAGATATTCTTGTAGGGGTGTGTGTGCACGCATGTGTATAACTCCTTTATTCTCATATTTGTTTTTGTTTGTTTGCTTGTTTGTTTGTTTTTTGAGTTGGAGTCTCACTCTGTTGCCCAGACTGGAGTGCAATGACCGCTCCTGGCCACCACAGCCTCGACCTGCTGGGCTCCGGCGATCCTTCCGCCTCAGCCTTCCAAGTAGCCGGAATGACAGGCGCGCGCTACCGTGCCCGGCTAATTTTTTGATTTTATTGTAGAGATGAGGTCTCACCTGCCCAGGTGGGTCTCGAATCCGCGGGCTCGGGCAATCCACTCACCTTAGCCTCCCAAAGGTGTGGGATTACAGGTTGAGCCACTGAGCCCGGCTTCATATTTGTTTTAAAAAACAAATGTATAAAGCAAAATTTGCAAAACTGTGTTGAAGGACTTACAATGTATGAAGATGTGACTGGTTTTTTTTTAAAAAAAACATTTTATTTAGTTACTTATTTTATTTTATTTTATTTATTTTTTTGAGTTGGAGTCTCACTCTGTCACCTAGACTGGAGTGTGGTGGCCGCTCCCGGCCAGCGCAGCTTCAACCTGCTGGGCTCCGGCAATCCTTCTGCCTCAGCCTTCCAAGTAGCTGGAACTACAGGCTACCATGCCTGGCTAATTTTTTTGATTTATTGTAGAGATGAGGTCTCGCCAAGTTGCCCAGGCGGGTCTCAAACCCGTGGGCTCAGGCAATCCTACTTATTTTATTTATTTAAAAAATAAACAGGTTTTCTTTAATGAGTTCCATCAATTGATAACACTGGTAATTCAGTCAGATCACGAAGGACTATCATCTCCACTTTATAAATCTAGACACTGTGTTGCAGATCAGTTGAGCAATTTGCCTATGTTCATATATCATTCAGAACTCTGCAGATCCAAAGTTCTTACCTCTTCTCACCAAACTGAGTTATCTCTCATAAAGCAGGTTTATTTTTATCTTCCAGCATTACTTTTCCCTAGAGAATAGTCAACTGACTTTTTTTTTTTTTTTGAGTAGGAGTCTCATTCTGTCACCCAGGCTGGAGTGCAGTGGCTTGCTCACGGCCACCACAGCCTCAACCTGCTGGGCTCAGATGATCCTTCCACCTTAACCCTCCAAGAAGCTGTAACCACAGGCAAATGTCACCACACCTGGCTAATTTTTTTTATTTATTGTAGAGAAGAGGTCTTTTCAAGTTGCCCAGGCTGGTCTTGGACCCCTGGACCCAGACAATCCTCTCACCTCTGCCTTCCAAAGTGCTGGAATTACGGGCATGCACCACTGCACCTGGCAGCCAATTGACTTTAATGTTAACAAAATTGTTTAAAAAAATAAGTTCAGTATTTCAAGAAATTTACTTAAAGTTTGAAGACTTCCTTGCCAAACTCAGTGGGTGAAATATGTATGCAAGTGTGCCTGGGGGAACCCTTGCACCAACACGGGTTGGCTCATGGAATCAGCTTGAATAGGCTTTACACCTCCAAGGCATGAAAGCACAGACTATAGCTGTGGGTGGATAGTGACTTTGTTTGGCAGCAACTGAGCAAGAAGAAAGTATGGCCATCAACAGGTACAAAACATCTCAACTTTGTAAAGCCAGCTCATGAAATCCTTTCAACCCTTTAATCAGGCACAATGCATCCTCTTCCCCACTGTGTGAACTTCACAATGCCCTTTTATTAAATATTTTTCTCTTCAAAGTTGCTTTTGCTCTTTATTTTATCCATGCTCTTTTTTACATATAAAATAAAAACATATGTATAAAAAGATGCTAAACGTAAAATATGCTTTGTTTTATTTATTTATAATTTTATTTTAAAGATGTGGGGTACAGTTCAGGATAAGGTACATAAGTGGTCATCGTACAGGTGAAGTTTAGGCCTTCCTTTGGTCCCCCACTTCACCTGGGGGATCAGGGACCCTTATTAATGTTTTGTGTTCCTTCCTTCCTCCCCCCACAGTGTCCCACTACTAACAATTCCTTTCTTATAGTATTATGATAAATGTTCAGGGTCTACTTATGAGTGAGAACATGTGGTACTCAGTTATTTGTTTCTGTGATAGATCATCAAGTATTATAGACTAAATCCATCCAAGTTGCTGTGAAGTCCATATGCTTGTTCTTCTTTATGGCTATATAATATTCCATTGTGTATATGTACCACATTTTTTTAATCCTGTCTATTTTCAATGGGTTGTTTCATGTTTTTGCTATTGTGAATAGTGCTGCAATAAACATGCATGTGCATACAAGCAGCAAACAGATACTTGAAAAAATGCTCAGCCTCACTGATCATCAAAGAAATGCAAATCAAAACCACACTGAGATACCACCTATCTCCAGTCAGGATGGCCATCAACAATAACTCAAAAACAACAGATGCTGGAGAGGATGTGGGGATAAGGGAACACCTCTACACTGTTGGTGGGAGTGTAAATTAGTACACCTCTGTGGAAAACAGTGTGGTAATTTCTAAAATGTCTAAAAGATCAACCCTCCATATAGCCCAGCAGTCCTCCTTCTGAGAATATACCCGCAGGAACTCAAATCATTCTACAAAATATGATTTGCTTTATCCTACACTACAGTGACTGGAAGGAAATCACCCAATTAGTAGATAAAAACTAAAAGCGGGAGACGGGGCAAGATGGCGATGGCATAGGGACCAAGACTGCAAACTGTTGAATAGATAGACTGTAAAGCAGAGGGAAAAGTGAACAAAACCAGAAGACCCTCATAAGGAAGAACAGGTCATTGCAGAAGAGAAATAAAAGCAACCCCACCTTCCCTCAAAAACAGAATTGAAGAGGGGGAGGGAAAGGGGTAAAGGGAGAAAAATCTACAGAAATGAAGAAAAACCAAAAGAAGAGTATGGGTCTCTCCCAGACGCCTGGGAGAGCAGACACTGAGAAAATTGACTTTGGAATACAAACAATGAAAAGTCCCCAGAATGAAGGGTCTCAAAATGCAAATGTAGATATCAAAACAATAATGGAGAGATTAAAAAGAATTGAGGAGACACAAGAAGAAACTAGGAAGGAGCTGATATCTGAGATAACAGTAATAAAGAATACTGTGAATGAAATAAATAACAAATTGATAAGCATGGAAAGCAGAATTACCCAAGCAGAAGAAAGAATCTCAGAGCTTGAGGACCAAAATATAGAAATAACCCAAACTCTTAAAAACACAGAAAATAAGCTAAAAAAGACAGAACAAAACCTTCAAGAGATGAGTGACTACCTCAAGAGGCCTAACCTAAGAATAATCGGACTCCCTGAGACGGAAAGAGAAACAGAGACCACATTGGGAACAAACTTTCCACGAGATCATTCAAGAAAATTTCCCTCATCTAATCAGTGAGACAAAAATTCAAACACAAGAGATTCAGAGAACCCCCGCAAGACAACAAATGAGAAAACCAACTCCTGGACACATAATAATTCGCCTAAATAAAATAGACACAAAAGAAAAAATCCTAAAGGCAGCAAGAGAAAAAGGCCAGATCACCCACCATGGAAGACCAATCAGAATAGCAGCAGATTTATCTGCAGAAACCCTGCAGGCTAGGAGAGCTTGGAGCCCTATCTTCAAAGTCCTAAAGGATAAACAATTTCAACCAAGAATAACCTACCCAGCCAAGCTAAGCTTCATCAGTGAGGGAGAATTAAAATCTTTCCCAGATATCCAATCCCTAAGAACTTATGCAGCCACAAAACCATCTCTACATGAAACACTTAAGAAAGTACTAAACACAGAAGAAAAGGAAAAAAGAACAACGTTCTTCACAAGAGTACAGGGAAAAGAATAAAATATACACGAACCAACCCCAAAAGCAAAAGAAAGACAAAAAAAAAGAAAGAAAAAGAAAAAAGAAAAAACCAAGTGGAAGAACAATAACTCAATAAGAACTCCATGATAGGGATGAACTCTCACATTTCAATAATTAGTCTGAATGTGAATGGACTAAACGCACCACTGAAAAGACATAGAATGACAAAATGGATAAAATATCACCAGGCAACAATATACTGCCTTCAAGAGACCCATCTCACTAGAAAGGACATACACAGACTCAAAGTAAGAGGATGGGAAACAAATTTTCAGGCGAATGGAACACAAAAGAAAGGAGGAGTCGCGATCCTAATTTCAGACAAAATACCATTTAAGCTATCAAAAATTAAAAAAGATACAGAGGGCCACTACATAATGATAAAAGGTTCACTCCATCAACAAGAAATATCTATCCTAAACATATATGCACCCAACATAGGCGCACGAACATTCATAAAGCAACTTCTAGGAAAACTAAAGAAAGACATTGACTCTAACACCATAATAACTGGGGACTTTAATACACCACTCACAACCTTAGACAGATCATCAGGACAAAAAATCAGCAAGGAGATCCGGAACCTCAATGAGACTCTGGACCAAATGGACTTAATTGATACCTATAGAACACTCCATCCAAAGACCACAGAATACACATTCTACTCATCACCACATGGAACATATTCTAAGATTGACCACATAATTGGACACAAATCAAGTATAAGCAAATTTAAAAGGACTGAAATTCTACCATGCACCTTCTCGGACCACAGTGATAAAAAAAAACATTGACACCAACAAAGTCCCCACAAAACCCACAAAGACATGGACACTAAAACAAGCATGATGCTAAATAACTCCTGGGTCAATGATGACATCAAAATAGAGATCAAAAGATACCTGGAAACAAATGAAAATAAAGAAACATCTTACCAAAATCTCTGGGATGCCTCAAAAGCTGTAATAAGAGGGGAATTTATATCCCTACAAACACACATGAGGAAAATGGAAGGAACAGAAATTGACAACCTAACAAGCCACCTAAAAAAGCTGGAAAAGCAAGACCACAAAAACCCTAATTTCAGCAGAAGAATCCAGATCACCAAAATAAAAGCCCAAATCCAGGACACAGAAGACAAAAAGATAATACAGAAAATCAATGAAACAAAAAGCTGGTTCTTCGAAAGGGTAAACAAGATCAATGATCCCCTAGCTAGACTGACCAAGAAAAAACGAGAAAAAAACCAAATAAGCATAATCAGAAACACAAAAGATGAAGTCACATCTGACCCTGAAGAAATACAAAAGATCATTAGAGACTACTACGTACACTTGTATGGAAAAAAACTTGAAAACCAGAAGGAAATGGAAGACTTTCTGACATCACACAACCTACCTAGGTTGGAACAAGAAGAAATTGAGACCCTAAATAAACCAATAACAATCAAGGAAATCGACCACGTAATAAGAAAACTTCCTACAAAAAAAAGCCCTGGTCCAGATGGCTTTCCAGCAGAATTCTACAAGACATTTAAGGAGGAGCTGATACCAATCCTACTGAAGGTATTCCAGGCGATTGAAAAAGATGGAACTCTCCCCAAATCATTTTACGAAGCCAACATCACATTGATACCCAAGCCAGGTAAAGATCCAACAAAGAAAGAGAACTACAGGCCAATATCTTTGATGAACATAGATGCTAAAATTCTCAACAAGATCCTAGCAAACCGGATTCAGCAATACATCTCAAAAATCATCCATCATGACCAAGTAGGCTTCATTCCTGGCATGCAAGGCTGGTTCAATATTCGTAAAACCATAAATGTAATTAAATACATCAACAGATGTCAAAACAAAAACCACATGATCATATCACTAGATGCAGAAAAAGCTTTTGATAAAATCCAGCACCCCTTCTTGATAAAAACCCTTGAACATCTAGGCATACGGGGAACATACCTCAAAATAGTAAAAGCCATCTACGAGAAACCCACAGCCAGCATACTCCTAAATGGACAAAAATTGGAACCAATTCCCCTGAAAACTGGAACTAGACAAGGATGCCCACTCTCTCCCCTCCTGTTCAACATAGTATTGGAAGTCCTGGCTAAAGCAATCAGAGAAGAGGAGGCAATCAGAGGTATTCAAATAGGAAAAGAGGAAGTCAAGTTATCTCTCTATGCAGATGATATGATGGTGTACCTTGAAAACCCAAGAGAATCTGTCAAAGGTCTCCTTACATTGATAAAAGCCTTTGGCAAAGTCTCAGGATACAAAATAAATGTACAAAAGACAATCGCATTTCTCTACACCAATAATAAACAAACAGAAACCCAAATAAAAAACACAGTTCCATTCACAATAGCCACAAAAAAAATGAAATACCTTGGCATCTTCCTAACCAGAGACGTGAAAGACCTTTACAATGAAAATTACAAAACACTGCTCAAAGAAAATCAAAGCTGACATGAACAAGTGGAAAAATATCCCATGCTCATGGATCGGAAGAATCAACATTGTGAAGATGTCCATCTTACCTAAGGCAATCTACAAATTCAATGCAATACCCATCAAATTACCAGCAACATTCTTTTCAGACCTAGAAAAAACAACACAGGAATTCATATGGAAACACAAACATCCAAGAATAGCCAGAACAATCCTCAGCAAAAAAAAAACAAAGCAGGTGGTATCACAATACCAGATTTCAAACTTTACTATAAAGCTACAATCATCAAAACAGCTTGGTATTGGTACAGGAACAGGCATATAGATCAATGGAACAGAATGAGATTCCAGAAGCAAACCTCATTTCTCAACCAACTCATCTTGACAAAGCCCCCACCACCTACCAATGGGGAGAGGAGAACCTATTCAGTAAATGGTGCTGGGAAAATTGGCTGACCACATGCAGAAGATTGAAACAGCACCCCTATCTATCCCCATGCACAAAGGTTAACTCCAAATGGATCAGAGACTTAAATGTAAAACCTCAAACCATAAGAACCTTAGAAAAGGAAGGAAATACTCTCATGGAAATCGGAACTGGCATCCAATTCCTGTACAAAACCCGAAACCCACAGGACTTAAGAGAGAAGATAGACAAATGGGACCTTATTAAACTGACAAGCTTCTGCAAAGCCAAAGAAACCATCAAGAGAGCAGGGAGACAGCCTACAGACTGGGAAAAAGTATTTGCCAACTCTAGGTCTGACAAAGGCTTAACATCCTGGATCTACAAGGAACTGAAGCGTACTGAAAAGAAGAAAACAAACAACCCCATTATAAAATGGGTAAAAGACATGAACAGACACTTCACAAAAGAAGACATTCGAGCAGCCAACAAACACATGAAGAAATGCTCAACCTCACTAATCATCAGGGAGATGCAAATCAAAACCACACTGAGATACCACCTAACTCCAGTCAATGGCAATTATCAACAACTCAAAAAATAACAGCTGCTGGAGAGGGTGTGGTGAAAAGGGAACACTTCTACACTGTTGGTGGGAGTGTAAACTAGTGCAACCTCTGTGGAAAGCAGTGTGGCGATTCCTAAAAGCTCTAAACATTGACCTTCCATATGACCCTGCAATCTCCCTACTGGGAATATACCCTGAAGAACACAAATCACTCTATAAAAAAGATACCTGCACACGTATGTTTATCGCAGCATTGTTCACAATAGCAAGAACCTGGAAACAACCATGCTGCCCATCAAAAGAGGACTGGATTAAAAAAATGTGGTACATATACACGATGGAATACTAAGCAGCCATAAAAAAGAACAAAACCATGAATTTCGCTGCAACCTGGATGGAACTAGAGTCTATAATACTGAGTGACCTCTCACAAAACAAAAATCCGAATATCACATGTTCTCACTCATATAATGGACCTTGAACATCCAATGCAATACTATGAGAAAATGACGGATGGTACTGGGAAACTATGGGGGGGAGGGGGATGGGATTAACAGTAGCAAATATCTGTCGGGGGATGGGAAAACACTTCTTATCTACAGGGTGCCTGAATGAAACGTCATTGTACACCTAACCCTTAACTGTACCCCACAAAACCATAATAAAAAATACTGATTAATGAAAAATAAATAAATAAATAAATAAATTATGTCATACAAAGTTCATATACCAAGTTCCAATTTGATAGCTCCTCAAAAAGCAGAACTTGGTAAGAATGGAGCCGCTAAATTTTACCATAATTTGGCTTTTAAGTTTTTTCATCTCCTGGATGAATTGTTCTCTACATTTTCTCTTGCTTTCCCTGTAGTAATGGTTTGGGTTTCTAGAGTTTTGAATCTTCTGACCAGTGATCTGGAATTGCAGTGCTAATACCACAATGACTTTTATATTCAAGAAAATAGAAAATAGGCTTTTTTTTTTACAAACTGAGTGATGATACATCATCAGCACTGCACTTCAAGGCAGATTTAAGAAAGCAGAAAATATATAAGGGTTAAAGAAATATTTTAAGTGAAACAGTTCGTAACATACCTCATGCTGAATTAGAATTTTCAATGTGAACTGGGGAAGTTTTTTTTAATGTTGTACTTTTTAAATATTCCATTAGAAATTCTTCGTTGCCAGAAAAGTTCAGTTGAGGAGCTTGACTTGAACAATGTTGCATGTTCTTTGCTTTCTCCTTGTCATCCAGTCATCCATTCCATTGTCTTCTAAACAGGAAGATGGTGGATGATGCCACCAAATATTCATGCTTCAAGATGGTTCTTTGTTCTTCATTTCTTTATGTGCTTGACTTTTGCTCTAGCCCCAGAATGAATGGTCTATTTCCCCATAAAATATAGTGGTATCCAGCTTTTGTAATCACTCACTGTGAGTTGGGTATATGTGTTATTTAATCATTTTACCATATCACCCAGTGCTTCTATTGACTTGTTTCTATCGTATGTGCAGATATTGGAAAGAAAAAAATCCACAGAGAACTCAAAAGTTATTTTGATGAACTCCTCAGGAATTTCGGAGGTAAGCCATTTACATTCACTGCAGGATTTTCATTATATGTGTTAGCTTTGATGAGGAACAAATAATTCATGCCTTAGATTAAAATAATATGATAACTACATAGACTTGTTGTTTTTGGGAATTAAGTCATTAGTGAGAATGTTTCATGTTAGGATCAAATTCGCCTTAAGGAAGCTGGTGTGAAGGAAAGGAAAGTGGTCTCCGAAGATGAGGAAGGACTGAAGGAAAATGATTCACCGAATATCAAGATAAAGCAGGTGACAAAACATTACTCTCATAGATTTTAGAAATCAAAAGTTGAATGCAATGACTTTATTTTCAAGTTTTATAAGAATTTTCTCTGTGGTAAAATGTTCATAACATGATATCTCACTTAACCTTGTTCAAATTTAGAGTTCAAAAAAAAATTTAGAGTTCAGTAGTGTTTAGTATATTCACATGTTTCATGTTAGGATCAAATTTGCCTTAAGGAAGCTGGTGTGAAGGAAAGAGAAGTGGGCTCTGAAGATGAGGAAGGACTGAAGGAAAATGATTTACCAAATATCCAGATAAAGCAGGTGACAAAACATTACTCTCATAGACTTTATACTCAAAAGTTGAATGTAATGACTTTATTTTCAAGTTCTATAAGAATTTTCTCTGTGGTAAAATTTTCATAACATGATACCTCAATTAACCTTGTTCAAATTTAGAGTTCAGCAGTGTTTATATATTCACAATGTTGTGCAATCATTCTTTCTTAAATGTTTTTTCTCAAATCTGTCTTAAAGTCTGCAGACATAGAGAACAGTTTTGAACATCCAAACCGCAAATGCTCGAAGTCCAAAAACTGTATTCCAGAAGGTAGGCTGTATGTGGGAAATCCCCATAGCATGGAATGAGTTTGCCCTGGGGAGGGAGAAAAGGGTTTCCAGCCTTCAGGATTCTCATCTTCTCCTCTTCTCGCTGTAACCAAGCTTTCACTTCCAGTGTCCACACACAAAATAAGTTGTTTTATCTGTTCCAGAAATGAAGAGCACGGAAGACAATGGTGACCTATTGATCTCTTTGGATGCAGTAAAGGGAGTGAAATTCAAAATGCTGAAAATGAGAGTCAGCAGTCTCAATAAAAATCTGTGGACAAATAAAAGATGGTGGACGAGTAAGTATGCTGTTCATATGTTTTATGATACAAATACTGTTGTATGACTGCACATCAACCCAATGAAGACAATTGTAATTTCCTTTAAAATCATTTCTGCAATATTTGTCACTCATTAAGTGGGTAAAATATTGTGCCTGCCCTTCATTTCTTGATTTC